GCACACTTGTATGCTTGTGTGTTGTTGATGATGACGATTACTGGCAATAGAAATGTGAGTAAGGTACCGAACTCAGGTTTGCTCCCGCCTATTTTTAAATACGCATACGGTACTTGTATGCGCCCTATGGTCCAGTGCGCCTTATGTGTGTGTTAAATACAGTAATGGCACACATAACTGAGACTGCGCCTTTTAGCACAGTGCGCCTTATGGTTGTGAAAATACGGTATAAATCCTGGAAATCCTCCTGGCGCTTAACAGCGTACACCATGTTACTGTTTGTGCCGAGAGGACCCGATCTTCAGGGTGGACCGGTGTTTTGTGAAAATGCGTCTCAGCTGTTCCGATAGTCCTGACACATAAAGGGTCACTAAAGGTTTTCGCTTCCATCTCTCCTCGGTCGTCTGGAGCTTTCTTCAAGTGCCTTCCCAGTTGGATATTTGTCAAAACTGGGATAACCACATTCACTTAGCACATTCTTGGTATGATGTTCTTCTGCTTCCCTGGCTGCTTTGTCTGTGGGGATGGTATTCCTCTCTGATGACACCCAGTTTGTGCTCCAATGGATGATGAGAGTCAAACCTTAAATACTGATCCGTATGTGCAGGTTTATGGTACTCATTAACGTTTAAATGTCTCCCATTACTGATGGAAATCTCACAGTATAACTTAAGGCTAGCCTGCCATTTATCGACCGAGTTAATGTGATCAGTGAACTCAGCACGTCCTGAAATTTGATTTCCCCCCAGGTGTCATCCACATACCCGAACCAATGACTGGGCGGTGTGCAGGGTAGGATACCAGAGTAAAATGAGTTTGTCTCATATGCTCACCGAACAGCTGGATCTTTGCCTTCTGGAGGACTTTTGTTGCGCAGGCCCTTAACTGAAGATCTCAGTTGCAGACTTTTAGGAGTAATCCTGTTTTGGTGGCAGCTGTAGTCAGCCATCTCTCGTGCTGTTTGCTCGTACTCACGTACTAGCTTTAGGCAGTCCTTGTCAAAGTGGGTTAAAATGTCTTCATGCATGAACATTTCTCCACTCTGTGAATGGTACTCATGGCCACTGATCAATGTTTATGACAATTTGCATGTTAATGATCATGAAACATGGCCTAGTGGTGCTAGTTTCAGCCATTATCCAAAGGTACTGTCGATAAGGTTGGAGAAACCTGGAGTCAGCTGAGACTGAAGAAATGTTTCCCACTGAAAACGTCCAGATGAACAGAGTCAACTTCCTGGGATGTGTGTGTTATATGACTTACTCTTTTCTAGCAGCGCAGCCAGCACTGTATCCAAATGAGGCTTGAGCTCTTCTTCAATCAGCTCTGTACTCACACTAATAGCTTTTAACGCCTCACACAGAGAGTCTGCCACACACAACAAGAGTTAGCTGTTAGCTTTAGTAACACGGAAGTCAAGGTGAGACATGCCATTTTATAGATAGCACACAACTTGAATAAAATTATGATTCTGACAACGAAGCAACTAAAAATTTGCCAACAAGATCTGGAAAATCTGTAGCACTGACAAAATAAGGAGCTGGGTTACCTTGTTACCAACACAAAATCGTAGACAGATACTGGTTAGTGGCTACCAAGCACTGAGTCCTGTATGCCTAACTTGGCATTCAGGTTTAAGTGATCCTATAATTCAATTCAGTTTAATTAAATTTTATTTATACAGCGCCAAATCCCAATAACAGTCGCCGCAACGTGCTTTATATTGTAAGGTAAACCCTACTATAATATAAAAAAAAAAACCCAACAATCATATGACCCCCTATGAGCAAGCACTTTGGCAACAGTGGGAAGGAAAAACTCCCTTTTAACAGGAAGAAACCTCCAGCAGAACCAGGCTCAGGGAGGGGCGGGGCCATCTGCTGCGACCCGTTTATAACAGGACATTTGTTCTGTTGACAGGCTAAGCTTACAATTTGTTACATTTGGTTTTATAACCCACAACACAGCAAGGTGTTCATACACACACATAATAAATAGTGATCGTGTTACCTGACATGAAAAATAAAAAAACATACCAACGAATGGCTTCTGGAACCTTAAGAATGAAGTTTGACTGAAAACTTGTTTTGTTGGAGAAATGTTCGACTGAAATGAAAATGGTCCACTTACAGAGAGCTGAATTTAAAGACACAACAAAAACCAAAGTGAAAGCATGGAATTTAATTTCATTTATATAGCGCCACAACAACAGTTACCTCAACACGCTTTATATGACAACAATACAAAGAATGCAACCATCAGAAAGCCCAGCTGTTGCACGGCAGTGAGGAAAGACATGTTTTAAAACCCCTCCTTTAACAGGAAGAAACCTCCGACAGAGCGGGGATCAGGGAGGGGCTGCCATCTGCTGCACCCGGTTGGGGATGAAGGACTGATCCTTCACAACCCAGAATGATATACAGTAGATTATACAGCTCCACAGTGAGCAGAGGGTCCGCTACAGGACGTCAGGCTCTTAGGCCACACTTATGAAGTCTGTTTCTGATTGTTTGGTCAGAGACATTCGCATCCAATGGCCTGCTGGAGGTCATTTTGTAGGACTCTGGCAGTGCTCATCCTGCTCCTTGTTGCACTGCTGACGGCTTAAAATATAAATATATAATAAAATTCAAAAATAGGTAGAAAACAGTCTGGAAAGATAAGGACTATAAACATTCAAGCTACCCTAATTAATAAAGCTTCATTATAAGCAGAAAAGACACGATGAAAAGCAGAATAATCAACAAAGCAGCAACTGAGAAAAAAGTGACAAACTGGCATTAGCGCTTTAGCCTGCGAGATTGCCGACGTCATTATCCGACGATTAAAAATGCTTTTCCTATTTTCTTCTACAAGTCTTGGCAGCGCTCTTACGGGTATTGTAGCTGATATGATGCTCCACCACATGCAGAACGTATATGAAGAAGCTGCTGGAGACCAGAGCTACTACCACTAAAAACCACACTAGAGTCCTGCCAACAACACAACTTCTTCAAGAAATCATCAGCTGAAAGTCTAACGAGGTCAGAAAGAAAGCGTCTGGACTTCTTTCAGCTGCATGAAGACGGGACTGGGACTCTCCACCAATTGACTCTTAGAACTGAAGAAGCTTCTTGGATGAGAGGTGAAACGTCTTCAAGCAACTTAAAGAAGTCCAGAAACTTTCCAAGCTCCTTAGACTACGATGTCCTGGATGACTGAGAACCTTCGCAGACATCAGCTGAAAGGTTAACAAGAACTGGGGACAAATGTTTAATTACAGCAAATATCAGGAGTGAAAATCCTCCTTATTTTTAGAGTGTTTTATAGAGCTTTGATGTTACTATTTGCCAAATTCAGCTGAACTCCCACAACAAAATTATATTTCTCCTAATCCTGATCTTGTACAATATATAATACGACTTACATGATGCTTTTTTCCCTCTTTTACCCACCAATAAACAAAGTCTTGGTTAAACTTAAACCTTTAAATAAGTATAAAGGAAACAACAGATTTTTCAGGAGCCGTCCAACACTGATGTTTCTGATGTGGTTGGATCAAGTCTGAACAGTTTACACGTGCCAGCAAAGGGCTGTGCACGCTTGCACATTTCTTGAACCACAGGCACGGAGCATAACTCAATAACAAAGCTAAAGAGCTTCTTAAACACATACAGTCCATTTCAGTCAGACGCACACAGAGTGCAGATGGTAATCACCTCGGCTAATCCCTATAAAGTCGATTGAAAATAGCCCGGGTGGAGGGGGCTAGGAAACGGATGCACACACTTGTATGTCACGATCTAGCCCTCGTGTCCTTCTGCATGTGTAAAGACACTTATAGACTCTTCTGTGCTGAGCACTTGTTACTACAAGCCTCATGCAGCCAGTCGCACACATTCATACAACCACTTTCTTCTATAGCGTTCATCCACACACACTCAGACGAATGAAGCGCAGGCAACTCGGCATCTTGCCCAAGGATATTTTGACATGCAGACTGCAGTAGCCAGGGAATCGATCCATCAACCTTTGGATTGGTGGACCAGCAGCTGAGCAGTCAGGGCGGCACTGTGTGCATGCGTCTGCGTTAAAGCACAGGCCAACAATTTCCTAGTCAGTCTCACAATGTAATGCCAAGAAGTCCCCAGGGTGCCTATATACAAACGTGACTGCATGCATGGACACAATAACAGCAACAACTGGGAAATCCAATCCCATCAGTCCGTCCGCCACTAAATCCTGTCACTGTGATGCTCGTTGTGTTTATTCCACTGTTAGACTACGCGGTGCATCTTGGATAGTATGGTATTATGATGGTATCTATGAGCAATGAGGACGCAAAGAAATGGTTCATGCCTCAGAGCAGCAACGCCACAGACGAGGCTGGGTTGTTTGATTGTGTGGCTCAGCTGGTAAGTTTATGTCCATCCACTCCTGAACTGCACAGTGCTGCAATCTTACTGGCCGGTGGCACAAACAACTCACCGTTGCTGGTCTGCAGAGTGGCGCAACAGCACAGTGCACCACGCCGGCTGCAAATCGTTTTACCTTTTATACAGAGCAAGAAAGGACAGAAGCATCTCACACACAGAGGATGTAGCTACTCACCAGTGTCTGTCATGGCTGCTGGCAGGCTCTCTGCTGGCTAACTGCCTTCGCCTGCTTGCTAGCACTGAGTGCGCGTCTGTGTGCAGAGAGGCCGCCCTCCCTGATTCAGCCAGGTGTGTCCCGCCTCTCACTCTGCCTGCTTCCCTGTCCTTGCTCTTCCTCCACTAATCCTATTACCTAACTCTCCTTTTCGTTTGCCTCGCTTCACGCTGCCCTTCTCTGCTCCCACTGCGCGTGCGTTGTCTGCTCCCATCGTGTGTTCATTCTTTCTGTCTGACAAATTCAAAGTACAGGTGGTGAAAGAAAAGCTACAAACCAACAAAGACAATTCTGTACAATATAACAAGCAGATCACGGTGATATTTACATATTTGGTGTTTTTAAAAATATATTTCACTGTTATATATTATTGTATGTATATTTTTATCATATAAAACAAGGGACTAGTTTAGAGACTGATGGTGTAAACATCACATAGAAAAGACTGACAATATCTGCGGAGTTTTTACAAATGAAATACAAATATTTCTGGAGCTCTTTAAATGTTTTAGGAAAACAGGCTATAGCTTAAGTGCGTGTCTGTGTGCATTGCCCTTTCTGATTTTTTCTCTTTTTGCATATTTCAGATGGTCAACTTTTAACTCTTGTAAACACAAAATGCAGCGTGTGATAAAAAGGTTATCCAAACCTTCCTGACCTCGTGTGTAAAACAAAAACAAAAGCTGATTGCCCTCGAATAAATGTGTTTGTCACTCTTCATGGCAAAAAAGAAATTTGTAATAACTGGCAATGAGACTTTTTCATCACTGTACAGGAATTTTTGGCCCACTGCTCTTTACAGACGTGTTTTAGTTCACCCACTCTGGAAGGTTTGCCTGGTTAAATCATGCTTCAGTCTGATTTGTGTCCAGACTTTGACTACGCCATCCCAAATCCTCTTTTTGAGCCATTCAGAGGTGGACTTGCTGCTGTGTTTCAGATCGATCACGCTGAATAGCCCAGTGTGTTAAAGATTCATTGTCATATGCACACTAAAGAAACATGTTTCCCCCCAAATTCTTCCTTTGCTGTCTGTAACAAATACCCAAGAGGAGAAAAAACACTTATACAATAGATAAATACAATAAATGATTTAAAAACAATAGAAATAATCATAAAGGATTATACTAAATACAACAAAAAGGGGGGGGGGGCAAAAAATACACATGCATATACATATATATATATGTATCACCTGGATCACCAGTTGAGAGAAAAAAGAGAAAACAAGCATAAAAACCATCGCGATAATCTATGTGTATATATATATCTATGTGGTAAATGGCCTGTATTTGTATAGCGCTTTACACATCCAGTCATCCACACACTGGTGATGGCAGCTACATTGTAGCCACCCTGGGGCGCACTGACAGAGGCGAGGCTGCCGGACACTGGCACCACCGGGTCCTCTGACCACCACCAGTAGGCAACGGGTGAAGTGTCTCGCCCAAGGACACAACGACCGAGACTGTCGGAGCCAAGGCTCGAACCGGCAACCTCCGATTACAAGGTGAACTCCCAACTCTTGAGCCACGATCGCCCGATAGCATTGTGCAGCACGTAAGAGCGACAGCGCACAGTGTGCTTTGAGGTAGCAGCCAAGAAAGGTGTAGTTTGTGTCTGTGAGCACCCGTGTGTACACCTGTGAGCATGAGCACGCTTGTATTCAAAAGGTTCCTTCATGTAACGATCTGCTAGAGGGTGTGGGGGGTGTTGTGGAAGTTTTCCATTAAATAAAGGCTGCAGACGAGCGGTAGCTAACATTCTTTAATCAAACACACAAAGGACAGACAACCAAGCTTGATGAAGTCCCTGCATGACCGCGGGGCAGACGGTCAGCAGAGTCTGAGCCCAGCATGGCTCTCAGTGAAATACCTTCTCCAGGAACAAACGGCAGTACACAGCTGTGTCACACCTTAAGCTTCACACTCCCTTGCTGCCTCCCAGAGTCCTCGAAGACACAAAAGACTCTTCCTGTGGAGTCGTCTGCTTCCCCCAACTTCCTTACTGGACCCCCCACCATTTGTCTTACTGTATGAGTGTGAGACATATTAAAATCCAGTGGCACCAAGGTATCATACAATAAAATAATGTGATTAATACATAAGTAAAAGAAATTCCTATACAGAGGCCATAGCCCCCCAGGGCATGAAGCAGGTATGGAGGAGATCCAGGCTCCAGACATCCAGAGGCCCCCAGAGCATCAAAGTCCAAGGAAGACCAACGAAGGGGCAACCACGCCACTCTCCTGGAAAGAGCTGAGGAGAGGCCCGGGCGAGGGGTCACCCAGCACCCACAGAGCAGAAGCCAGAGGGGGTTGCAGTGACGTGCCCCTGAGCTCCACCGGCAGCCAGCTGTGCCAGAGGGGACTGAGCCGCAGGCCCAGAGGTCGAGGGCACCCCACCCCCCAAAGGGGCCCGACCGAGCCACAGGCGCCAGGCCCCGACAAGCAGCCACCGGGAGCCGGTGCATACCTGAGTACCCAGGCGCGGACACCAAGAACCACCAAAGCACCGATGTCTGAGGGCGTCAGCCACTGGCAGGGAGAGTGGGGAGACCAGACCATATAGACACAGACATGCCTCCCCTGCACCCTGGTGACACACCTGCACCCCAAGGCCCTGCATGTGTGGGTGATTGTGGTGGAGCGGGAAGAGGGAGACAGGTGGGGGTTAGGCAAGTGGCCCCTCCCTGGGGCCAGCTCCCCCTACTGACCCCAGTAGGCACCCCCGCTCTCTGGAACCCACCAAGACCAGGGGGCCCAGGCTCATCTGGACCGGGGTCCACAGAAGCACCGCCCAGCCCCACAGAATCTGGAGCAGCCCACCCGACCCCACCACAGAGAAAACTGTACCCACCCCATCATCCACTCATCTCCCAGACTACACAAGACAATAGACGCCCAGGTTAAGTTCATTATCCTCCTCTCCCATATCTCTCCCCCACTCTCACTCTCTTTACATTTCGAATGCTTCAGCTTCAGGAACTGTACTGGAATCTGTGCTGCTGCAGGAACTAAAACAGGGAAGACTTAGGCTACGTTCACACTGCAGGCGAAAGCGCATCAAATCCGATTTTTTTGACCCTATGTGACCCATCTATCCGATCATGGTGTGACAGTGTGAACGGCACAAATCCGATATTTTCAAATCCGACCTGGGTCACTTTCATATGTGGCGCTGAATCCGATACATATCTGATGTTTTAGTAAGCGACTGCTGTTTGATGGTCATGTCGCATTAAATCCGTCTTTTACGTCACTGAGACAAGACAGACGCCAACTATCAGTGCTGGAGAAGACATCGCGAACACTTCCTGTCCATCCAGTGTAGATGTCAGTGAAACTGTTGGGAAGACAACGTTGGAGAAACGTGAACATTTTATTTGTTCTGTATAATCTGCAGATTCTGACAGAAATCTGCAGCTATCCTTTGAAGCAGCGCTCCTCTAAAACAGCAACAAGGATCATTATTAGGTTTTTTACATTATTAAGTCACATTAAATCCGTTATTTACGTCACTGACACACGACAGACGCCAATTATCAGCGCCGGAGAAGACAAACGAGAAAGCATGGTGGCGGAAACTGGAGACGGAGCGAGTCAAGGGCCACTCACTGGTTCCAACTCCATGTCCATATATACCTCTGCACCGAGGTAGCAGCCACTGCTCCAAACAAGGCCACTGTTAAAGCACGGGCTCTCTGTTTTCTCAGTGTCCTTCTTTCTCTAATGAATTTGTCAAAATTCTGTCGGTTACGACTGTGCACAAATTGATAGATTCCTGCAACAACACCTACCAGCTCTGTAGCCGCCATTTTTACTTCCGTAAACAGAGCACGTTGTGTGTGACGTCTTCTTTTGCGCATGCGGGCCGCTTTGAGGACCGTGAACCGTTCACACTAGAGCGCGTTTGCTGTCACATTTTATTTGTAGTGTGAGCAACATGACAAAAAAAATCGGATTTGATCAAAAATTGGAATTGAGCATAAAGACCTGCAGTGTGAACGTAGCCTAAGAGGCATGGCTGTGAGGATTGCCTGTTCCTGTCTATAAAGCTTAGTTTGGTTCAAAGCTGGTACAAAGGATTGTGCGTATAAGGTAATGTCCTCTGCTACCTGTTGAGTGGGCATCTGTAATCCTGACTAATGATCAGCAGCACTTATTAGTTTTATCAGTTTCATAAAATATACTATACTAATGATTTACAACTCTGATTAATTGAATGAGTTACTATTGTCAAATACTACTGCTGCTAATAACAATAAAAATAAATAATGATGATAATAATCATGTATCAGAAGTAAAGGACCTGTCAAGACTGCGGGCAGCAGATCATGTAGAGTGCAGAGTGAGGGCAGGAAATGAACTTAACGAAAAGTGAACCATTTAATGATTCTAAAACAGTACAAAGATAAGAAAACCAATCAAAAATGAGAAACTAAAGAGAAAACCTGAACTGAAAAAACTGTAGAGGCTGGGAAGCTCTGGGAACACGGATCCTGAGCGACACAGGGATAGAGGAACAGACGCTCTCACAGAGGAAACATTATATACATGTGACTAGAGTCACTAACGAAGTGGAGACATATGGGAACGCAACAAGAATATTTATTTATTATTTATGCATCTATTACTCTTCTAATGAATTCTACCCTTGTCCACCAGGGCTGGGGAGTGACCTGCAGTTTCACGCTCCTTCCACCGGATGGAGCCAGAGAGTACTTTAGCTCAGTCCTACCACTTTTTTTCCTTTTATCTGTAATACCCTCTTTTGCACACACGGTGTCACACTCTAACAAATAAAGACCCGTGTGTACCACTTCTTCCTTTTTTCTCAGTTCTGTGGTACAGTGAGTTGAATCATTCACCACAACTAATACAAAGCCATATCTCCATGCACGCTGGTGATTAGTGATGTGCCATACCACTGATCTCCACTGATCACAAAAACTTAATGTGTTATTGTATTTCAGATTATAGCTTCGTAATGATTGCAGGACATCAGACTGCTTGTTCTTATTGTTTAATTGTGAAGAATTATCATATAGAAATTGTTATGTATTTTAGCACCATGGGAGCATTTACAGGATATTGTTTTATAGTGATATTATACAGGAAAACTGTTGCTCAATAAGGCCCATTTACTAGTTGTTTTTCTCTTTCTCTGTGACCCAAGAATTAATGTGTAAGAATCACAGGCTGGT